GATCGACATCATACGCCGTCAGAGGCTGGGGTCCTACCACTATGGACATCGTACTCGGGGGCCGATCGAGCACGCCACTGTACCCACCATTGCGACGAACGTAGCTGCCGTGCCATTTAAAGGGCGCTGCTTTGCGTGCAACAGTCTAGGCCATCGCAAGAGCGAATGCCCATAAGAGCTAAGGCGCCGTGGAGCGGAGCAGGGGAGGGAGTCTGGAAGGCAGGGAAACACCAGCAGTCAGTAGAGTACAGGCCCACTACTAACGAGACTCACTGATCGCCCGACCTCACTGACCCTCACCGAGTGATAGTACCGATTCACGCAATCGATCGGGCTCGGATGAATAAGGAGGCTACAACGACTGATTGCCCAATACTGATTTGCGGGAAAATACAGGGGGTAGCAGTGATGGTTTTTTTTTTTACGGAGGAGCAAGTCACAGCTTAGTTAATACCGCAACCACAAGGAAGCTGCAACTGACACTTAGCTGCAGTTTACTAGACATTGACGCACGCTTAGTTGACGGCACGTCGCTGGCTATACGAGAGAAGGTGGAGAGGGTGAAAGTTCGTTGCAGGGGGAATTTTGGATTTACACAGGAAATGCCCGCGACGACACTGGATGGGCACGACATTTTACTGGGACGTGATTGGCTGCGACGCTACAACCCACGAATCGACTAGACGACAGGCAGCTGCACTGTATGAAGTAGCGGTAACTGGGTCGTGCTACCTCAGTGGCAGTCACCTGTGTCTTCAACGGTCCACGTCAATGCCATCATGATGAAACAGGCAGTCGCCGCTGGAGTTGATGTGTACGCAATGGATATCATAGTCGTAGGAGAAACGGAGGAACCGAGCAATTTTCAGAAACTGCTGGCAGCCCTACCGCCTGAACTACAGGAACTACTGAAACGGCACCCCGACATTTTTCCCGACGACTTACCGGAGAGATTGCCACCTCAGCGAGCACATGACCACCGCATAGAGTTAGAGCCGGGAGCACAGCCAACCGTACAACGACATTTCCTACTGACACAACCCGAACTCGACGAACTGAGGAAGCAACTAGATTATTTACAGGAGAAAAAAAATCATCCGACCGAGTTCATCACTATTCGCCGCACCGATACTGTTCAGACGGAAAAAAGACGGAGGGTTTCACATGTGCATTGACTATTGCGCACTGAACAGGGTAATAGTGAAATCGTGATGCCCCATCCCACACGCCGACGAACTGATCGATCAACTGCGAAAAGCTAGGGTGATTTCGAAAATTGACTTATGCGACGGTTACTACCAGATTCGTGTCGAACCGACAGACTATGCCATTACAGCTTTTAGAACTAGATACTGGCCCTTCGAGTACACAATCATGCATGCGACATTTCAATTGACAATGAACCAGGCGTTTAGGCCGCTTTTAGATAAATGTGTCATAGTCTACCTCGACGACATTTTAGTTTACAGCCGGGACAAGCAGCAGCACTTAGCAGATCTGGAAGTCATATTTAAGATTTTAGACGAGCATCGTCTACTGACCAAGGGTATGAAGTGCGAGTTTTTTTCAGGATAGGCTGGAGTTTCTGGGGCACGTCATTTCGGAAGCTGGGGTTGAAATAGTGTCAGAATCCCAACCGCTAGACCATTGGGATAAAAGGGCTTGTTTGTATAGCGGGTGAGTGCGCCCATAACCCCCCTGGCGAACGCGCCTGTAACCTCCCGTAGGATCAATCGGACATCCACAGTGCAGATCTACTGACACCCCCCCACACTGGGAGGCCCAGGACTGAGCACAGCGGCAACGCCTACATTTTCATACACCGGGATTCGAACCCGAGACCGCTCTGATACCATATCAGAATTCCAACCACTAGACCATTGGGATAAAATGGCTTGTTTGTATAGCGGGTGAGTGCGTCCATAACCCCCCAGGCGAACGCGCCTGTAACCCCCCGTAGGATCAATCGGGCATCCACAGTGCAGATTTACTGACAAATAGACTAGAAAAAACTGGACCGTCAAAGCATGGCACCCCCCGACAAACATCACGGAGTTGCAGAGATTTTTAGGGTTCGTTAACTATGTGCGTCGGTTCGTCCCCGACATGGCACGGTTAACTGCCCCACTGACGGATTTACTGCGGAATGGGGTCGCTTTTACGTGGGGGGAGAAAGACCATACTGCCTTCCCTGCCCTGGAAAATGTTATCTGTTCACCGCCCATACTACGCATCGCCGACCCAGACCACCTATTTAAAGTGGTTACCGACGCCAGCGGCATCGCCATTGGAGTTGTACTGCTACAGGATCTTGGCAACGGCCTACAGCCCATCGCGTACGAGTCACGAAAGCTACACCCACCCGAGAAAAATTACCTGATACACGACCGCGAAATGTTCGTGATCGTGCATGCGTTCGAAGTGTAGCACTGTTAGTTGACAGTACGGACAGACCATCGATCTCTAGCACCTCAACCCACAACAGATCCGTTGGCTCGACTTCCTCTAGTCAAATTTCTACTACACTGTCACCTACAGGAAGGGAGCCTCGAATATCGCCGACGCACTGACCCGCCCGACTGCCCAAATACACGCGATACTACTCGCCTAAACCAGCCCACTACTCACAGGACTATTTATCAGACTGACCCGTTCTTCACAGGAGAAAATCCACAGCAGTTCGCAGCAGCAAATGCGATTTATTATGTAAAAGCCAGCATCGACTGCATCTGGGTACCGGAATATACACTACTACGGGAATTACTGCTACAGGAGGCACACGATGGATTTACCTCAGGAAATTTCGGGGTAAAAAAAAAAACACTGCAGCTGCTGCTGCGATACTACTATTGGCCCAAGATGCTGACCCCCCCGCTGTATGGAGGCAGAGAGCATTGTCTCTATATCTGCACGAGGTTCTTCACAACAACTCATAACAATAACGATTATTCACCTTGTGTGTTGTAACGAATACCGTACCTTTCAACTTCTGTAGGCGTTGTCCATTCAGCGCGCTCCGCAAATCACTAATACTGACCAATCAGCTCGCTTCATCCCAACACTCACGTTGGTACCTCGCAACAACCTCCTCCACCCCACCTATGCCTTCACCTCACGTGCGCCCATTTTCGGGTGTACACCCTGTCAGAAGCGCACGTCTTGTGCGGAAGCGGAGTGCGGGACTACAACGATGTGGGCGGGGGTGAGCTGCACAGCGCACCTCCATTCTCCCAACCAACCAGCCCATTTCTGCTGCCTTACCTGCCCTTTCCCCGCCTCTCCGCCGAACCAACCACCACCCCGTGCTGTAACTCGCTGAGCCAACCTAGCCGTTCCGCCCGCCGTTGTTCACCGTGACACCATTCACCGTCAGTCAGATCGCACCTCTCGTCCCTCCCTCACCCTCCTTGCATTTCCCAAAGTTGCTCGTCTGAACACTACTGTACAGTAGGGAAGTAGGGAAGTCGAACCAAAGCGCAAACTTCAGACGAAACTTGCTAAGGGCGTGTGTGATTTTTGATTTTGCCATAAGTTTATGTTTTTGACTCGATTTAAGCATTTGAACATGACTCGACTTTGAGCATTGGCAATGTTCGAACCGCAGGTGACAATGCTTGTAGATTCACAATCACACTCTAAAGTGCGAATTGCAGGTTCGAGATTACAGGGGGGGAACCGAGCCGCCTATAGGGTGCGTAGGTAGTGCGCGTCACAAAGTTTGTGCATATATTCGAATCTTGTTCACATTTGTAGGTTCGCACCTGGTACTCTTGAAATCGGAGTCACCATTGGCGAAAGCTTCTGCGAACATTGGCGAAACTGGTTACCACCTAGAGTTCCTCATATACCTACCCAAACAAAAATCACACACGCCCTAACTTGAGACTCGTAGACAGGAAAGCTTTGCAAACTTTAGAACGGAGCCATGTGCAGAGATGGGAGTCGAGCGGATGAACAGGAGTAGGCAATAATAGCTTCACCTTGCGACTTTTGAGGCGCCTCAAAAATAGCTTCACCTTGGGTTCTGTGGCGATTCGTGACGACTCGGGTTGCTGGTAGCATCATTGAAAGTTGATTAGGCGGCAGCCAGCGCTCTGTCAACTGAAGCGACCTAAGAACAGGTAAAGCGATGATGCCCCGTCTGATGTAGGCGGTTCGTTATTGACGTGGCATTTTGGTGCGAGGCTGACGGAACCGAACGGTGGACACGGGAGTGTGGAGCCGAGGAGAGGAGGCGGGCAGGTAATGTGGGCGGTATTAATTGAAAATAAAAGAGCGTCGACGTCGCCTGAAAGGGTTAAAGATTTCATGTTTAGACGAGGTGTACTAGTCTGACTTGCACGTTTGAAGTCATTCCGCGGCGCGTAACGGATCTGAAGACTAGCGGAACGGAATGAGGTACGAGGCGGCACCGGGCTGAAAATAGGGGGAGGCAAACTGCAGCGGCGGCGGCGGTCGCGCAATGATGCTTTTCGTTCCGCACGCGAACGGAAAGTGCGACAGTGGGAGGAGCGATGCGAAGGGTAGGGCATGCATGCCGGCAGGAAGGAAGGCGTGACGGAGGGAAAAGCAAAGGGGAGGCCAGGGGGGGCACGGCAGAGGGGGAGCAGCTGTTACAGGTGCAGCACGGTGCGCGTTGAACCGGCTGGCTCATCGCGCACGCCAAGATTTGCAGTGACCTCCCTTTTGCCGCGGCCGCGCTCGTGTGATCTCGTTTCCGCCTGTCTTCCGCCCGTCCCACCAACTCATCCTGCCCCTCGACCATTCGATTCCCCCGACCCCTTTATGGGCTCCATTCGGAATATCTAAGCGCCATTCGATTCCCTCGCTTGCGCCTCTTTCTCCATGAGGGGAAGGGGGAAGGAGGTGCAGAATCATGCGCACAATCAACCCCACTTCCCTCCTCTGACTGCTCCCTCCGTCTTTTCATCCTTTCCTCCCACTTCCCCCCCCCGTCCCTCCTCTCCCTCCCACCCCCTTCTTCCCCCCCTTCCCCGCAGATGGTAGCCAATTCAGACGCCGCGCCGGGCGGCAGCAGCGGCCACTGGAGCAGCGGCCACAGCAACGGCATTCGCGCGCACGCCGCCTCCCCCTCCCCCTCCCGCACGCCCCTGGACGCCCTCGCGCCGGGCGACCCCGCCAGCGTGCCCAACAGCGGCCACCACAATGACAGCAGCGGGCGCTACGGAGACCGCGGCGGAGCTCCCGCGGGCGGGGGCGGGGGCGGGGGGCACGCGCGGGGAGGCGGAGGGGGGTGGTCGTCGGACATGGACAACGAGGGCGAGGCAGGAGGGATGGCGATGGCGTACGACATGACCATGCCCGACGACAAGCACGGGCTCACATCGGGGCTCGCCTCGCCTCTCATCCACAGCACGCGCTACGACGATGATCTCGAGAAGGGGGGGGTCGTCGGGGGCGCGAGTATCATGGCGGGGGGCGCGGGGGGGAGAGTGGGCGGAGCGGAGCCGGCGCAGGCGGCGGCAGGGGCGGGGCGCGGGGCGGCGGAGTTTGGGCGGCGGACAAACACGACCAAGGACGTGCGTGAGCACGTGAAGTCGGTGATTCAGCAGAACGAGGGGCTCACGCAGCCCTTTGTGGTGCGCAACCTCACGCTCACGTACGCCCTCACCGTGGCCGTCGTCATGCTGCTCTCCCTGGGCGGGCAGCTGGCGGTGCACTTCGCCATCCAGAACAGCAAGAGCGACGCGTTAGTCGTCAACGTGGCGGGGCGGCAGCGCATGCTGAGTCAGCTCATCTCCAAGGACAGCCTCGAGATCTACGTGCTGCGCACCGACAACCGCAGCGTGGCCTACTACGTGGGCGAGCTGAGCGAGCGCGCGGCGCTGTGGAACAAGTCGCACTACGGGCTGTGGCACGGCAGCCAGGAGCTCAACCTGCCCGGCACGGGTAACAGTGCCATTGTGAAGAAGATCGAGGAGCTGACGCCGGCGTTCCTGGCCATGTTCTGGAGCGCACGGGGCATCGTGGATCTCAACCCTGACAACATCACGTGCCCCTCCCCGTCCTGCGAGTAAGACCAGGCTTTGTTACTGTCACCCAGCAACATCACTTGCCCCTCCCCGTGCTGCTGCTACTGCCATATGCCATGCCCACACAAGCCAACCCACACCCTCTTGACATCATGCCTTCGAGGGCTCTTGCCTGCTCCCCACCCATTTTGCTCCCCACCCATTTTGCAAGGAAACGTACGGGCAGCCTTGCCACTGACTCGTGTCATCTCATCACTCTCCTCCGCTACTGTGCTGCTGTTGTGTTGTGTGCGTGGTGGCTTGGCATGCAGGCAGCTGAAGAAGCATGTGGACACGATAATGGAGAACGAGGCCTTCTTCTGGAAGACGCAGGATGGCATAGTGCTCATGTACCAGGAGGATGCAGACACGCACACCAACACCATCCTCATCCTCTCCTGGGTGCTCCACATGCTCGTCATCGTTACCCTCATTCTCGAGGGTGTTTTCGTGTTCCGCCCTGTGCTGCGCCACATGCAGTCGCTCATCAATGAGCGCTTCGCCCTCCTCCAGCGCAGCCTCGTGTGAGTCTTGGGTTGAGAGCGGTGCACAGCGGTGCAGCCTCGTGTGAGTTCCTCTTGTGACTGGCAGTTGTGTTGCCTCATATGGATGTCTCTCCTCTGACTTCCACTCTTGCTCTCTTCACCCTCCCGCCCTCCCTCCCTCCCTCCCTCCCTCACTCCCTCCCGCCCTCCCTCCCTCCCTCTCTCCCCCCCTCCCTCCCTCCCTCCCTCCCTCCCTCCCTCTCTCCCTCCCTCCCTCCCTCCCTCCCTCCCTCCCTCCCTCCCTCCCTCCCTCCCTCCCTCCCTCCCTCCCTCCCTCCCTCCCTCCCTCCCTCCCTCCCTCCCTCCCTCCCTCCCTCCCTCTCGCCCCCTCGTGCCACCAATCAGGTCGGAGGCGGAGAACAGGGGGGTGTCGGTGCTCATGATGGGGTACATCAGCCACGAGCTGCAGCACCCCCTCGCCTCACTCTCGCTGCACCTCCACCACGCCGCCGCCGCCATCGCCCGCCTCGCCCTGCTGCACCCCAAGCCCCCCACCCCCTCCGCCGCCCTTTCCCCTGCCCTCCTCGCTCCTGACGGTGCCCTGGGCGGAAGCGGGTTCGACGGGGGAGGAACGGGGGTAGCGGAGGGGGGAGGGTGGGGGGGAGGAAGGGACAAGGAGGAGGAGGCGGGGGCGGGGGCGGCGGTGGCGGCGGCAGCGGAGGCGGTGGGGAAGGCGCGGGTGTGTGGCGAGCTGATGAGCACGGTGGTGGGGGACGTGGCCAACCTGCGCAACATCGAGCTCGGCCGCATGATGCTGGCCGTCGAGCTTGTTGACGTCCAAGACCTCGTGCAGCAGGTGAGGCTGTTGGGGGGTGCAGCAGGTGGGGGGTGCTCAGTGCTAAGAAGTGTTGCTGGCTAGGTTGTGGCTGGGTAAAAGTTCCCCGCATGCACTCCACCCTCGCCACACTCTGCACATTCAGCTCCTTTCCTCTGCGCTGGCCTCCAAACCTCTCCTGCCTAATATTGTCCCAAACCAACGAAAAACCCATAAGCACACAAGGTTGTTTCCAGTAAGACAGCTTCGACATTTGTCATTTCCAAACCCATCTCGTCCACCCCGTGCAAATAAACCACAATTGTCAACCTTGCTCGGTTTCTCTCAACCACTTGACAGCAGCTACAGTTCAATCGTTCATAACTTTCCTGTTCTTGCTCCGATTGAGGCGATTACTGGTTTGCTGAAAGAATGTTCAACAACAAAAAAATGATTATATGTTCAAACAAAGTATGATTCACAGAAGTTCATAAAAATCAAATTACACGCAATTTTTTTTTTACAACCAACCATGCAATGTAGGAAACATAGGATAGAAGGCAGGTGGATGTGAATGCATATGATAGGATCGCACAACACCTCCCTCTTCTACTTCTGCACCCGGGCAGGTGCTAAGTGTGGTAGCGCCAAGGTTGTCAGGAGGGATGTCGCTGTGGGTGCACAGTTGCCCTCTGTCCCTTCTCCCACCCCCCACCTTCTCTTCCATTCCCCCTTGCCATGCGTGCATGCAGGTGCTGAGTGTGGTGGCGCCGAGGGTGCCAGAGGGGGTGCAGCTGCGGGTAGACGTGGATCCCAGCATTGAGGCGCGCCAACTCGACAAGCACCGCCTGCAGCAGGTAGGGGGTTGGGAAGGGGGAGGGTGGGAGGGAGGGGGGGGAGGCGTGGTTTGCTTGGTGGTGGGGAGATGCTTACTGTGCAGATGGGAGCTGAGGCGTGCAAGCTGCAGGATTGAGAGCTGCCCTGCTGCCCTGTGAGCAGCACCTCTTGGCGCGTGAGCTGTGCTGCAGAGTTCACAGCTGCTCTCTCCATTCCCTGCCCTTGCGGCTCTTTCTCACTGCCCTTGCCGCTCTTTCTCACTGCCCCTGCCACTCTCTCTCACTGCCCCTGCCACTCTTTCTCACTGCCCCTGCCACTCTCTCTCACTGGCCTTGCCACTCTCTCTCCTATGCCTGCCACACTCCCTGCCCTTGCACACCCTCCGTAGCCCCTCACACAACCTCCCTCTCCACCATACTCCCCATTCTTCCATCCACAGGTGCTGCTGAACCTGGTGGACAACGCCTTTCGCCGCACGAGTGAGGGTGTGGTGGTGGTGAGGGTGAAGGAGGGTGCAGCTGCCCACCTGCTGCGGGTGGAGGTGCAGGACTCGGGGGAGGGGCTGAGCGAGGAGGAGCGAGCGCGCATGCTGGAGCCAGTCATGGACTCCAGCGGCGTCACCGAGGGCGAGGGGGCTGGCCTCGCGCTCTACGTCGTCAAGCTGCTCGTGGACCTGCAGGTGAGGCGCTGGTGAGGCGCTGGTGAGGTGCTGGTGAGGTGCAGGTGAGGCGCTGGTGGACCTGCAGGTGAGGCGCAAAGGATAGCTGCCAGCGGAGCTTCAGGGAGCACGTGATAGTGGTGATGATGAAATTGTGCTGTCCGTGGGGCCTTGAAAGGGTGCCTGGTCCCAGCGCAAGTGTGTGATGGAGGAAGTGCTCAGAGGTTTTCGGAGGGGACTTGCTCGTTTTGCTGATATCCTACCTTGGACCTTGTGTTCGTCCCCCCTTCCTCCCTGGTGCGCTGTGCAGGGTGGCACGTTTGGCATGGAGAGCGAGTCGGGCGGCGACAATCTGCACTGGGTGGAGCTGCCAGCCGCCTCTGCTGGCCCTCTGCCACCAACTGGGGTGACCCACGACCGCCCTGCCATCACGTAGCCATGGCCCATGGCGCTGCATGACCACCATTGCGTCTCTTTGCCGCTAGTTTGTGCACCCTCCCAACCTATCGACTCTGGGCTCTTGTATTTATGACCAGGTCTGGCATGCCATATCTCTATTAATGTATGGCCCAAGTCATCCTCGTACTTAGACGGTATGGGTGATTTCGGTTGTAGTCAGCAGAGGTCGAATTTCTGGCATATTTATGTATCATATGGAAGTTCTTGCTAGCAGGAATATAATTTATTCCCAGGATGTACAGCCCTCTGTTTTCTAAATACTGTATTCTCCCGGACAAAACACCCCCCTGTAATTGTACACCCCTGGGTAGCTTGTGCGGGGTGGGTGTTATGATCAGGGCTGATTTCAGGCTTTCCAGTTCGTGGAGACTGAAATTTCAGAGTTATTGAATTTTCAGCCCTGATCCAATCAGAGTAATAGTTTAGCTATCCCTGATTTTGAGTACAGTGTAACAGACTAGGCTGTTAGTGGACCCTGACTTAACGGAGTATCGACTGTGTGGACCCTGACTTATCGAGAGGAAGTTTCTCGGAAGTTTCCTTCCGATGACCCCGCCTTGGATTGATCGTAGTGATCCCCCCACATGCAGGGCTGATTTTATCAGGGTAATTACCCTGATTTCAGGGTGATTTCAGACTTGTCACATTCTGGTCCCTGTAATTTCAGGTTTAACGTCTTCTGAACACTGATCTTGTCAGAGTAGTACTCAGGCCCTCAGAAGTCAGCGAAAAAAGGCTGATTAGGGGTAAAAAGGCTGTGATTTCAGTGGTGGGAGAATAGTGGGGCTGTTGTGGCAGCTTTTTTTTAAGTGTGTTTGCTGAAATTTCAGGGTTTTTAAATCTGTATGTGCTGAAATATCAGCTTTTTTCCTGTCGTGTACGCTGTCTCATCAGAGTTGTAACGAAGGGGTTGGCTGAAATCCCTGTAATGGAGATTAGCGTAGGTGCCCTGAATTCCGGATGTCTAGGTACACCGGTTCGACCGTCCCTCCGTCAATCACGCCGAAATGGCAAGATTCCTTGCCAACGCATTCGGGAATGGTCATTCACGAACTTTCACTCCACTGCTGTCTTCTCGCGAAGGTATCTTGGCTCAAGGATACGGTAGAGATTCTTCTTTCCTGTACCAACTGTAGATGAAACCCCCACTGGTCGCAGACCGTCCGCTTCTTTCTCACCCACCTGGATCTTCACTCCCTTCACCTTCGCTTTTCTCGCTCTGAGCATCTCCCCACTCTCGGCGCCTGCATCGCTCGCAGCAGCCCCTCCCTCTCGTCCCTCCACTTGGAGATGCAAGGCACTTGTACTGGACACCTGTAGAGTAGAAGTGGTTCTTCTTCTACTCTACAGGTGTATTTCTCGCCTAGCGTCATTCCCTCATCGCGCAGCCTCACCTTCCCCTCGCTGCGCCACGCTTCCCTTTCCCCCCGTCGCCATGGCGCCGTGCGGGCCGCGTTCGCCAGCGAAGCTGGCGTCGCAGCTGGTCGTCGCTGTACGATGATCCGTGAGCCCGTGAGCTGCACTTCTCGTTCGTGCATATTCCTTGACGGGAATACCCACTCCTTTTCAGCCCGTGAGCTCAGCTCAGCAGCAACGCCATCTTAGTAGGTACGAATCTACAGACATTTGTTTCTCGTTACTCCTCATCGCCCCCCGCATTTGGTTCCCTCGTTTCCGTTTGATCAGGCTGAGACGGAGAGAGTGAGCTGCGAGGGAGATAGTTAGCTGCGTGGGAGAGGGAGTTGCGAGGGATAGAGGGAACCGCGATTCCGCTTTCACTCCCTCGTGCTTCCCGTATTCCTCTCCGTATTTTCTCCACCCGCATCCCTCTGCAGCTCTCCTCTGCAGCCCATCAGTGCGGCAGCAACACACCAGTATGCCCAATAGGTAAGTACGATTTAGGATAGAGATATTTCTTTTCTGCTCCCTTTCCTTTCCCCTCGCAGAGCCAAACTTCCGCGTCGTTCCCTGCAGCCTCCAGTCGTCCCGCATTCCCCTCGTCGCGCAGCCTCGCCTTCCCCTCGCCTCGCCGATTGTCTCTTTCCCCCGTCGCCATGGTGCCTCACGAGCCGCGGTCTGCCCGTGAAGCTAGCATGGCGGCGGTCGTCGCTGGCCGCGGCGCTCTCTTTAGGCTCTAGTGATAGTGAAGAGGGTGATGATGATGAAGAGGATGAGGATATGTTTAATTAGATTTCCTGTAAACGTTTGTTATATCAATGCAGAACTTGTTTGAAATGGTTCAGTCTTCACCAAATAGTGACGCTGATCGTTCAGTTTTTTTTTTAATATACACCCTGAAAAGTCAGTTTTTTTTTAAACAACAACACTGGCAGATCAGCCATGAACACACTCCTAAAGTTGACCAGTCAGCCTACGCCAAAACGAATCTGAGGCCCTGTTAGTCACCCTCAGAGGCGTTCCTTCTGGAGCGCGTGTACCGACCGAACGGGCGAGTCACACCTGTTCGAGTCAAAGATTTCCGCTGTCAGAGCCTATTTCGACCAATCCCAGCAAAGTATATATGACATTGCAGATTCGCGCGATCTCGATGGTAGGTGTATCAGAACGAAGTTTCGAAGAAACTTCATCTCGATAAAGCGGGAAGGGGAGGGGTTACGCACATGTGGGCAGGGCTGACGATTCAAATATGGGTACCCTGTTTTCAATCCCCCAAAAAAATATTTACCCTGAAGGCACATTTTCCGCAAAACGCCAAGCCTGAGCCTTCTTGCGATGTTCAGGGTTCACGAAATCGTAAGTCTGGGCTGTCAGGGTTGGCAGATTGAATTCAGGGTTGAATTTTTACTTCTTTCTAGTTTGGCGAGAAAAGCAGTGACGTGTTTGACGCGAGAAATCTAGCTGGATTGGCGGATTGGCTGGAGGGAGTGCATGTGGCTTGGGAGGGAGGATCTCCTAGTGGCGCAGGGGCGAGAGCGAGGGGTGTGCAAAGGGGGAGGGAGCAAGTGAGTGGGATGGGTGGGGGTGGGGCTATTTCGTGACCGCGGGTCGTCCGCACAAAAGGGGGAGACGGGGGGCAGGAAATGGGGGAACTGACTGCTCATGGGAGGGGTGTCGAGACTCGACCTGGTTTTGGTGGGGGGGGGTTGTGGGGGGGGGACGTTTTTCAATGTTAGTGTCTCGTTTAGTTTCACAATTATTCTAATGTACACATGTTTTTCCAAAGTTAGCGAAAAACAGCTGATTACTAAAAACTATCAGTCACATGGCAATACGGTGTTTCACTACGGATGGTTTTCTTTTATCTCCTGCCGAATCACTTTGCGATCCGCCAGATCGTGATTTGTTTTCTCGGTTTAAGTTTACAGATAACCAAAATCAGAAATCAAATGTTTAGTCATTCTAACAGAAACGTAGTGTACTGCGATAACCTGGATAGCGCGAATGGAGTCTCTGAGATGGGAGCAAGCGTAATCATGATTACGCACATGTGGGTTATCGGGACGAAGATTCCTGGAAGCTTCGTCCCGATAACGTTGCATTCAGGGTCAACAAGACGCATACTCTGTATGGACAGGGTCCTTAAGAACACTACTCTGTGAGTGTATACAAAATTCCAGGGTTCGCTAAAGTACTCCACGTGCAGGTGAATCTTCCGCTGCAAGTGGCAAGAGATGTGCCACATGGAATTTTCGTGGGGGTTTGTAGTTCGAGGCCGAAACTCACATTCGCGCCTCAGGCAGTGATGTTAAAATGACCAGCAAAACACCCACATTGACTAATTAAAAAAGCACTAACACTAAAATATGTCTTATGTAAAGACCCGGGTATTATGTATTTTTTTCCTATGAGGAGACCCCCCCCACTTTTTCTCTGTATTTCTAGCTATACCCTAGGGTGTTATGTCCGCGAGAATACTGTCAAAACATATTTCTATTCATTTCTCTCTAGGTTGTGTAGGGGTCATTCCTTAGAGGGTACAACCCATTTCTCTCGATAGTCTTGTACCCCTCCCTCTTACCCAATCGACAACCATTCTCACCTACCTCCTAGTTCAAACAAATACGGTATATGAAATTGTTGAAATAGTAGGGACTGCTGATTAGGTCAAGGGAAGGGGGGTACAAACAAGGTGTTGAGAGTGCTTGCGTACTGTTACAAGTGCAATCTAGTGAGTGAGCGAGAATTGCACTGTTGAAACAAAACAGTACATCGAGCGAATTCATGAACGAAGAATATATAGCGACACTAAAGTTGTAAGGAATTTTCCTAATTCCTTACTGAGGCTCTCCATACGCGTACAATTCCAACTTTTCGGAGTTCCGGCTCGGTCCGACGACCTCGCCTTCCGAGGCCCTTTACGACGCTGTAGTGGCTCGATACACCTCTCCTGCCACAGCTGAGCTTAGTCGCCTCATGCTGCCCTACCTGTTTCCTGAGCTGTCCACCTTTGCCACGGTTGCCGATCTCATCACCCACCTTCGCACTAGCGACACTCGCCTTCGCGCCGCCCTCCCCACAGAGTTCTGTGCTAAGAACCCGCCTCCGATGTACTGGACCCTCCATTTCTTAGTTACCCGCCTCCCTGACACTCTGAGCTCGGTCAGGGACTATTTTCTCGCTCGCAGTCCCACCGACCTCACTGTAGACCTCCTAGAGGAACACCTCCTTGCAGCAGAGAAGAGCATTGTTGCTATAGGTGCTGCTCGCGGCGCTCCTCGCACCCCTATCTTCGACGGGTGATCTCCCTCTCCCCTCGCCCCCTCCTTCACTACTGCTGCTGCTGTTAACTTCCTTGGTGCTGAGTCCGCTGGTGCTGCTTCTGCTCCTAGTGGGAGGCGCCGCAACGGCAAGGGCAAGGGAGCCAAGGGCAGCGGAGGTGGCTCCGGGGGGGGTGGAGGTGGAGGAGGTGGAGGAGGAGGAGGTAGCGGAGGGGCTGGTGGCGGGAGTGCTGGCGGGAGTGGTAGCGTCGGTAGCGGTGGTGGAGGCGGTGGCGGTAGAGGGGGTGGCGGGGGGGGA